GTCTGACTTTGTCCTTTGCAGTGTTATTATCTTTGAATTACCACTTATTGATTGAGATCTAATGATTAGGATTCAGACCTAAAAAATAAACACACTTAATGTCTGAGATATGAATGATTAAGATTTAGACCTTCATTAATTGTAAACAAATGAGGACTAAGCATAGTTTTAATGCTTTGTGATATTGAACAACAATTTTCAGTGTTAACTTTTAGTCTATGAAACTCGATTCCTGATTTTATGGCCAAATCTTTCAGCTTTACATGATTGATATGTTGTATATTCTGATAGATGCTCAAATTACCACTATGAAGNAAAATGGTAGTGTTTTGAGTTAGCTAGACAAGTGTTTGAATTAATAGTAATGTGAAAAAGAGAAGTCCAGTCGAGAAAAGGCTGCATCTTAGTGTTTTGAGGGTAAACATTTGATGTGTTGAGAAAAGTGTCATCCTTTTGTGGTTGGACTAAGACAGAAATTTGGCCTATACTATCCAACCGATACAAAGTCTGTTTTGACTTTTTTATTTTGACTAACATTTTCAATTGTATTCAAGTTTTAAGAGAAGTAATTTGCTTGGTATAGTCCTTACAATAAAAATTTCTTGGTATGGTCCATGGTTTTATTTTATATACATAATGTAGTACAATTTCTGGGAAGAACCAAAAATCTAGATTCAGTATGGGATGATGATAAGCCGGTTGGGTGTTTTCATTGCATTTATGCAGCTTACAGCTTGTTTGGATGGTTGTTACCTATTGTATTGTATCGTACTGTTACTTTAAATACAATGTTTGTTTTGATTGTTACTTAAATTTTATTGTATCGTATCATTAAATCCGTCGTTACATAACGATGAAAAGTGCCACTTTATGGAATGATGGATTTGGTGTGGTGGCGTCGTTACCTTGCTTTTTTCTCTCATCTTGCCCTTCCTTATTATTACATAATCATATTTTATCCTTTGCCCTACTCTTTTATATAATAATCTCCGTATTCCTATTTTTTCTTAGTAATATTGCAAGTTTATTCTTCATATTGTCGGTGCATGACATCATGAAACGACGATACAATCTATCCAAATATTGTATTCATCAAACAACACAATACAATACAATATAATACGATACGATACATTATAAAACGATATGTAACAACAATCCAAACAAGCTGTTAGAGTTTACTGCTTCAGGACATCTATTTGACTGACGACCGTGATGTCTCAAAGTCTCCATTTTCTTGATGTAGTATGCTTTTTCCCTTTTCCAAAACAAGGCGACTTATCTTTTCCCCTGTCTACTCAATCTTTTTGTGATCGATACTCTCGTTCCCTGTTGTGGATAAAATATAGATTTGCTTGTTCCATTGTCAATGGTGTTGTCTGTCTGAAAGCTCCATTGGCGTATCAGGATGGTGTCATCTTATATCATGATGACATCCCTAGCTGCTGCTTATTAGCTGAAGTTATTTAATTGGATGTATATGCATATGTTACAAGATCGAGGGGGAGGGATTTGGTTCTTCTTCTAACTTTCCTTTATTCCAGATTTTTTCTCAAGGCTTTTTATGTGAGGTCAAGGTTTCATTATCTATGCTTTAGTAATCATACTTTTCGGTTAGAAAGTTTACTGATAATTGGTTATAAAAAAGAATTCCTGAAAATTATAATTGGAAACTTAAAAGGCAGACCTTCAAAACTCTTATCTTTTTCATGATATTTTGTGGCAAAAATGTGGAAGAAATTGTGTCGATATCCTCTAACTATGACCAAAACAGGATATGAAGAAATATCGAACTTGTTCTTTGCTTGTCCCTACATTAGTTTTCTCCTTCAAGTGTTTGTGATGGTAATGCAGGTTCAAAACAATTTATGCACTCCGAAGAGTGGAGAAATTTTGGTTGCTTCTACCCAGGATTTTTTGACGTCTTCCTTTCTCATCACGAGGAAGGACACATTCTATGATCGTGCTTCCTTTTCACTTATATGCTCATATATGGGCGACGGAATGGATCCTATAGATTTACCAACTCCAGCACTGATTAAGGTTGGTAACTACGAAAGAGTTTGTGAACTTTTACTTCTGCTTGCTGCCTAATTGATGAAGTTTTCATTTTCAAACATTCTTCTTTGATCCTCTTTCTATTCCTTTATGTGCTCCTTTCATGTTTCCAACTTGTTTGATGATTGATCAGACATAAGGTTTCACAAGCCAATGAAGTGTTTTCACAGAACTTCGAAAATTCTAAAGTAGCAATTGCACAGTTCAACATGTGAACTGCAGTGATTATCAAGAATAAATCAATTATGAAATACTTTTCCCGGAAGTGCTTTCACAAATATTAAGCATATGGATGTGCAATTTACATTTTTTTAATTTCAGAAGTTTAGGTATTCTTTCAATTAATTCTTTTTTCCATTCAGTTGATATCTTTTTTTATTGTTTTTATGTTAGAATGTTAGTGTTGAAGAGACAATTAAGTAAATAAAGTATGCTCTCTCTAATAGCTTGAGCTTTTAGATGAGATGGTCACACACTTCAACATGGTATCAGAGTAGACATAGGTCCTGTGTTCGAGTCTCGCTGCCATCATTATAGAGAATGAATTTCCACGTGCTTGGCCAATGAAAATATGAATGAAGCCTGCAGGGGGGCGTGTGAAGAGACAATTAAGTAAATAAAGTATGCTCTCTCTAATAACTTAAGCTTTTAGATGAGATGATGATGAACTTTCAAGGTTTTGCACTTCTCAGGCACAAAGAAGAGAGAAAAACAAAAGCACCCTGCTAAAGTTTTTTCACAAAAATAGCGAAAGCGTTCTTCAAACTCACGTTAGAAGAATGTAAGATGAAAAGAAACCCCACCCACACGTTCCTCAATCCCACAAGATTGCAAGAAGCGTTGAATAAGTGAAGAAGAGGAAACAAAAGAGTCAATCACGTTTTGAAGCTAATGCTCAAAGAAACTAATCACCAATGTTTATTTTCAGCATATTGAACCCTTTAAATAGGCCTTACAATGAGTATAATTGATGAGGTTAAGGAAAACTGATCTTAATTGAACTAGAATAAGAAAAAGGTTAAGAAAAACCTATTCTAATTAAAATAAGAAAAGGTATAAGTGTTGTCAAAGGCGCGCTTAAGCCCTGAAGTGAGGCTCAAAGCATGTTGAGCGCTTCGCCTCGCTTTGTATGGGTGCTTTAGTGTCGCATCAAGGCTCTAAGGCATACTTTTCCTTGCCAATGAGTGTAATCCTGAAAAGGTGACATTAAACAATTGATATTTCACCTTATCGTAATTTTTTTGCAATTTCTTTGTCCATATATTTGTTATTAATGCGTATAATTATTAGTCTTGGACTACATATACATACTTTTACTTTTTCTCCAGTTGCGCCTTTTTTCATTAAAGCCCACACTTTATTTACGCTTTGCGCTTAAAGCCCCAACGGACCTTAGAGCTTTTTTGCGCTTTTCTCCTTTGATAACATGGTGTATTCTAGTAAGGATGGGATATTAACTAAAAATCCTAGTTTGACTAGACTATAAATATAATCCTACCGAAACAAGAATTAAATTACTACGAAACAAGAAATAAGAAATCCTAATATTTAAGGAAAAGAAATCCTAATCTTGAATGGATTCTTGGCTTCTTGAATTTCTTGGATTCTTGGCCTTCTTGATTTTGCATCAGACGGTCACACACTTCTACAGTTAGAATACTGATCGCGTATATACTCTTACAGTGGAAGAATGTTTTAAGCATTGTATAAAGTCTATAAAAGCATATATGCATAAAAAACTTGTCTTCCCTTATTTCTCATCTATTGTCCATCTTTTTAGTTTCTGCGACTACTTTATTCCCTGGAAGTGTGGACGGCTTTACTTTGGAATGCTGATAGGGAATGCTGGCTTGGTGATCAACAGGTCTTTAACATGGTTTTCTGAGGAAAATATATGTTTCCTAGGGGGTTGAAAAAAATTGACACTCCCAATCTGCTGTGAAGGGAAGGCAGTGTACTGGTTGTGGAAAGGGTGTGCAAGGAATCGGATGAGCTGGCAATGAACTTTTGTTTCCTCTTTTTTGGTTGGTCTTGGGGCTGCCTTACCCAGCATAAGCAGACTAACACCTTTTAGCTTTTGCAAGCATGTGTAGTTACTAGTTACCTCTTTGTATTTTTCAGTAAAGATATAACAGTGAGGCTTTTGTAGACTCATTATGGCAAGAATTTTTTAGGAATTTGCTGGTTATGGGGCTTCCTTACCCACACCATCAGCAGATTTCCACTTTTTTGCTTTTGCAAGTATGCGCTGGTGCCTCTTTCCACAGTAAAGAAGCATGCGAGGCCTTTGTAGTTCATCATAAAGTAGTACTCTGGAATTAGGTTTTTGACCTGTGTCTCATGAGGGCTTGTCGGATTTGTGGGTGGAATAGTCCGTACATGGCCATACTTTCTTTCCCCCCTAATGCGCTCTCTCTCTCTCTCTCACACACACACAGAGAGAGAGAGAGAGAGAGAGCTTATGCTAACCCAAGTAGTACATAAGTGTGTAATCGAGAGGAAGAAAAGGAAATCGGGGAGGGGGGGAGGGGGTATTGGGGATGTGGTTCTTGAGAGAGGTGCTTTGGAGAATGGATGGGTGGCAGTTGTTTCAACAATTTCTTTCCGTATTTTCTTTATATCGTTTAGTTTATTTTATTCTTTGGCAACATAGAGTTAGCGAAGAGGGTAGTTGCCCTAATTAAGGAAACTATTAGTGACATTTGACCTTCTTTTATGTTAATATATACTGCTAAAATTCAAAAATATCATTGGGGATGTGGTTCTTGAGAGAGGTGCTTTGGAGAATGGATGGGGGGCAGTTGTTTCAACAATTTCTTTCCGTATTTTCTTTATATCATTTAGTTTATTTTATTCTTTGGCAACATAGAGTTAGCGAAGAGGGTAGTTGCCCTTAATTTAAGGAAACTGTTAGTGACATTTTGACCTTCTTTTANACTGGGAAACAACTCTTTGGCGTGCTGCTGCGTCCATATTCAAAGATGAGAGTCTATGTAAATCTAACAGTCACAGAAAAGAGTTACAGCGGGAAAGGGGAAACAATGTGCCCAAGTGATGGATTTGTTTATTTCCGTAATAGTGAACTGATCAGCGGGCAACTCGGGAAGGCTACATTAGGTCAGTTTATCTTTAGTGCCCATTTAATTTAAACTGACATAATTTTTATATTTTTTGCCATAAAATTTGATTTTGTTGATTCCCCTCATGAGGTACATGTGTAAAACGCCACCTGCTTATGCACTATTGTTGCTATAGCACAGCCTTAATCTTTTCTCGTACCCTTAGATTGATTACATTGGAAGGAGTTCTCACGTGTATTGTCCTTTTAACTTACGGTCTGTTCTTTTTTTGGATTTCAAGACCGTAATCAATAATGAAGTGACCGTAGTTGTTATTTGTGTGAGATGACAACAGGAAATGGAAATAAGGATGGTCTATACTCTGTTCTGTTGAGGGACTACAAGTCACATGCTGCTGCAACATGCATGAATCGGCTTGCAAAATTAAGGTGCGCTAGTTAGATTCAGATCAGCCATTTACTTCTGCATTTTGCTGTCAACTGAAGTTAATCTTTTATGCTGACATTAGAGAAGTGTACTTCATACTTCAGCTTTGTAGTTGGTATTTAGACTTTTAGATGAAAATAAATGATTGGAAGATTTCAATTTCACGGACTAAGATCAAATGTAACACACTTTTTGTCCTTCTTACTTGTAGTTGGATACGAATGTCTAATAAGGGTTCTTGCTATGATTGATTTTTGCAAGTTTACTGTGTATGTTAAGGATTTGGTGCGTCTAGGTTAGCACTAGGAGGTCAAAGGAACACCACCAACAACACCACCAACAACAAACCCAGTGTAATCCCACAAGTGGGGTTTGGGGAGGTAGTGTGTACACAGACTTTACCCCTACCTTATGAAGATAGAGAGACTGGTTCCGGAAGACCACCCTCGGCTCAAGGAACAGTGAAACTAAAGCAACAAACAATTGCAACAACAAGATAGCAGGGTAATGGAAGCGAAAAAGAAACATGTACGAATACGAAACAGGAATAAGAAAATACAACAATAGAACTAGTAAAACAGGTAAGCTTAGGAGCGACTCAGGACTAACTCTCAACCTTCCACCCTAGTACTCGTCCTCTACACTTTTCTATCGAGGGCCATGTCCTCGGTAAGCTGAAGCAATGACATCAGTGGCGAATCTAGGCATTTCCCCAACAACAACAACAACAACTACCCAGTAAAATCCCACAAAGTGGGGTCTGGGGAGGGTAATGTGTACGCAGTGCACAAAAATTAGTGGCAATTATTTCAGTTTAGGGTTTTCCGTTCCTTGATATTAGTCATAAACTAGCTTCCTTGTGTTTGTTCGTATCATTTTGAATGCTTGAAATATTAATAGAGTGTAGTTCTCTAGTGCAACTGAATTAATATTGCTAACTTAATGAAGCTTAAGAAATTCTCTAAGGGAAAAATCCCCAACAGAAAAGCTGTAACAAGATTGTTTGCCTTGCAAAATTGAAGCTTCGATTTTTTTTATATCCAATGTCAAAAGAAATTTAATCTTTCTGAATTTTATGATTAATACTGTCAACACATAGAAGTTAATATATAGCATTTTACATTCAAATATTCTTGAATTAAGTTAGTCAAGCACTTTTTTGTCGCAAGTAAGCCTGTCCACGGATGCTAGGTTGTATCAAAGTTGTATATATACACATTCTGTAACACCAAAATTGTTCTGTTCAAGAGGAATACCTTCTTGCAAATTTGCAATTGAATCCTGAAATACCATCATGGTTCGACACAATTATTTCATATAGGTCTTACTCTAGTAGTGTTTACAAAATAATTGCAAAGCTGATGGCTGAAAGCTGGTATCAGATAGTCAGAATGCCTTTGTAAAGGCAGGCACATTGTTGATGCTGCTATGGTAGCAAATGAATGCTTGGAGTATCTATTCAAAAGAAAGATCAAAGGAGTGGCTTGCAAGCTAGATTTGGAAAAGGCATATGACCACGTTAATTGGTCATGTTTACTATATCTCATGAAGCAAATGGACTTTGGTGAAAGATGGATTGGGTGGATAAAATATTGTATATCCACAGTTAACTTTTCAGTCCTGATTAATGGATGTCCTCAGGGTTACTTCAAGTCTTACAGGGGGCCAAGGCAGCGGAATCCTTTGTCTCCTTATCTATTCTTGCTGATGATGGAGATTCTAAGCATCCTGCTTGAAAAAGCAGAAAATTTGGGAAGGATCAGAGGGTTGAAGTGTAGAAGAAGTGAGGGAGAAGACTTCCAATCTCACACATACTTATGCAGATGATACTTTGATTTTGTGTGAAAACTGAGATAGATAAATTTTACATCTTAGAGGAGTTCTATTATGCTTTTGAAGCTGTCTCAGTATTTAAAGTGAACTCGGCGAAGAGTAATGTGTTCAGTATTAATGCAGAACATTGCATTGGTGATTGGAGACATTATTGGTTGTAAGTGGAGCAGCTCCTACGGCTTACTTAGGCCTGCCTTTAGGAGCTAAAAAGAATGACCAGAAGAATGTGGCAGGGAGTTCTGGACAGGTGTAGGAGTAAACTTGGTCTATGGAAAAACGCACTTGTCATTTGGGGAAGACTTACACTGGTTAACAGTGTATGGATGGTATGCCTACTTATTTGATGTCAATAATTAGAATGCAACAACAGTGGAGAAAAAAATTGAGTGCTATGCGAAATAAATTCCTTTGGGAAGGTAATGCTGATAGAAGGAAGCTCCACTTGGTTAAGTGGCAGAAGTGATGAAAGGAATAAAAGGAAAAGGTTTGGGTGTAAGGAATTTAAGGCTGCACAACAAAAGCTTATTATTTAAGTGGCTTTGGAGATATAATCATGAAAGTAATAGGTTATGAAACAACTCATAGATGTCAAATATGGCAGGAAGGATTTTTGGACTCCTCGTGCAGTCCAATCCTCTCCTAAAGGGGGAGTTTGGAGCACTATCAGTAGTCTATGGATTGAATATAGTCAGTTTGTAAAGTTGGAGCTGGGGAGTGGTAATAATATCCAATTCTGGACTGATGTATGGATGGGGAATGGAAGTCTCAAATCAAAATTTCCAGTTTTATATCGATGCTCCACTGACAAGAATGGGAAGGTACCCGACTTTTACTCAAGTAATGGCTGGGCAGTTGATTTTCAGGAGGGGGGGTCTTAATGACTGGGAAGTAGATGAATTCGCTCAGTTAATGCAATTGCTGGACAGTGTCAGTTTGGACAGCAATAGGAGAGATTCAATTATTTGGGCAGCAAGCAATGATGGGAAATTCACTGTTAGCAGAGGTTATACTCTTTTACAGAAGCAACAGGGGAGGTATGAATCTGATTGGCCATGGAAATCAATATGGAAATGAAAAGCTCCTGTTAAAGTAGCATGTTTTGGGTGGGTGGCAGCAAAGGAAGCTTGTTTAACTCGGGATTATATCCAGAAGAGAGGAGCTATTTTAATTAATAGATGCTATATGTGTGAAGAAGAATTAGAAACAGTCAATCATCTCCTCCTTCATTAAGTGGCAAGACAGGGTTGGGAGCTATTCCTTGATTTGTATGGTATTAAATGGGTTATGCCACAAAATGTAGAAGTCTGCTGAAGACATGGCAACATCAAAAAGTGGCAAGAAGTCAGCAGGCAGTGTGGAGAACAATCCCCTTTGTGTCTTATGGACAATATGATTGGAGAGAAACAGGATTGCTTTTGAGGGATAAGACGGCATGTATCCTGGATTAAAAATAGATGTCTTTTGAATTTGTTTTTTTGGTGTAAAAGGAGTGTTTTGAAAAATCAAGAACAATACATAGATTTCTTAGAGGAGATAGTTGATTTGTTGTTGAAAATTATTATGGAAGTTTTTGGTATGGTGTAATTGTACCATCTTGGTACCTTCATTAATAAAACTTTACCTTATCAGAAAGAAGGTGATGGCTCTGGCAGACGTTGACCTTTATTCTTGATATATTAACTAACTAGAATTCTGCTTATATGTTTTGCACGTAAATGTTAAGGCTCATCAATTGATTTGTGACTGGAAATAAAGATTTTCACAAGGATCTTTTATAGAACCTCTCAACATGGCTTGTCCCTTGGTTCCTTCCTTTTCAGAGTTTCCTCTGATGTGCCCTTCCTTTCCATTTTTTCTTAATTATAGTTTGCTCTTTCAGTGCTTTTTCCATTTTCCTTCCTTCACTTCCAAATCTTGTCCCTGACTTCTTCTTATCCGCATTTTGTCATCTTTGGCTTTTGTTGCCTTGAGGTGTTTCTGGAGCGTAGTTATTCATTGATGACATGTAGATTTAGTATTTAGATCCCTTATCAACCTGATATCGTTTTTCTTTGTTATCAATGTGTCAACCATACTTTTTTTTCTGATCAAGTCCACGTTCAACTATATTGTCCCTCTCTACCAAGGAAACAGATGATACTAGATTTTGAGTGCTGACATTTCCAAGTTTAAGCATAAGTTTTCATTGATAACCCAAAAGCCAAGCACTCTGATAATGCTGGTCATTGTTTAGCAAAAAAGATAATGCTGGTCATTAAAAATTGGTCTTTCTTACAAAAGCTGCTTTCTTGTGTAAGGAGTCTATGAAATGTATCATTCTTTGTTCATCATATACTGCACCAGAGGGCTCGCATGCTAGGACATATCAGTTATAAGGTAAGCAAGGCATAGCCTTCCTTTTAAAACATCTCCTATTTTTTTTTTGAAAAGGTAACATATCTATTATACTAATTAAAATCATCAGCACAAAAATTGTGCTGGGAGCCAAAATGTACATCATGTAGAACTTAGGCAAAAACCAAAAGCGTAACATCGTTGTTCTTCTCACAAGGAGCCTAAGACTTCTATGATTGAATCATGGTCATCAATATATTCTAATTTACACCAATAACTAAAAAGAAGAGTACAATTCATCTTAATCTTCTGTGTAGAGCTGCTTGTATCTTCAAAGCATCTTGCATTCCTCTCCTTCCATACTGTCCACCAAATAGCTGCTGGGACAAATTTCCATCTGTCTTTGTTAGAGGAATTTCCCCCTGTATTCCAACTTTCCAGAAGTTCAAAGGTTCTTCCTGGCATTGTCCACCTAATACCCCTTAGCTTGATGAACAATTCCCACAACTGTTTGGTCACTCTACAATGTAGAAACAAATGGCTAGTTGTCTCTGCATCTTGTCCACATAAATAGCATCTAGAACAAATTGGCAATCCTCTTTTCCTAAGATTTTCCTGAGTAACTACTGCTTCATTAGCCACCAACCAAGTAAAGCATGCCACTTTGTATGGTATTTTAACTTTCCATATGTGTTTCGAAGGCCATAAACTGTTTTGAGGCACCTGATTCAAATCTTTGTAGGCTGAACTTACTGTATAACTTCCACTGCTGTGCTTCTTCCATGAAAGAGTGTCTTCCCCCTCTTGCAATCCTCTGCCTTGATCCAAGGTGTTATAGAATTCTGCAACTCTAGGCAGTTCCCAATCTTGAAGTAGTCTTCTGAATGTTAAGTTCCATCCTTGAATCCCCCATACATCCTTCACTGTAGCTCTTTGTTGCTGATTCATTGTAAAAATGTCAGGGAATAAAACCTTCAAGCTTCCTATTCCCAGCCAGTTATCCTCCCAGAATAATATTTTCCTTCCATCCCTCACATTAAAATTCAATTTGGATGAAAGACTTGGCCACAGGTTCCTAATTGATCTCCATAAACTGGTTCCAAAAGGATTCTTCACCTCCCTAGTCCTCCAGAAGCCTTCTTTTCCATACTTCGCTTTTATCACCCTTCGCCATAGTGTTTGCTCTTCCCTTGTAAACCTCCACAACCACTTCATTAATAGACATTTGTTTTGCCTTCTCAGATTTTTGATTCCCAAACCCCCTTCCTGTTTACTAATGGTCAACTTTTTTCATTTAACTAAGTGAAATCCTTTCTTCTCTTTATTTCCATGCCATAGGAAATTCCTTCTCATGACTTCCATTCTCCTTTCTACACTTGCAGGTAATGGGAATAGGGACATCATGTAGGTTGGGAGAGCGTCTAATACAGAGTTAATAAGAACTAGTCTACCTCCCAAAGAAATGTATTGTGCTTTCCATCTGGCTAACTTTTTCTCACATCTTTCCAGAACTCCATTCCATATGTCTTTGGATTTGCTTTTTGCTCCCATAGGCATCCCCAAATAGATAGTAGGAAAAGAACCAACTTCCCCTCCCAGAATACAGCTTCCTTTCATTCCTTAATGTCCAATCAAGACAAGCTGTTCTTTTGAATCCCCCTTGTTCTCTTTTACCCTTAGTCCTATCCTGATCTTTCTTCCGTCTCAGCAAAATAACTCTTTACCTGATAAAGACATCATGTGGCACACACCAAAAATGCTACGGATAGTTCCCCCACCACTGGACTATGTGATAGTTTCCAGTTTGTTTACCCAATTTTGTTAAAATTTTAGCAGCACCTTTACAAGGGTGGTTCTGGTTCTACATAAACTTGAAACTTCTTTGCGGTTGCCATTTGGTTATAGCAGGTGAGTGGGAAATTTTCTTTTTGTGAATTCTTGGCTATTTAAGCTTAAAAAGTCTCTTTCACCGATATTGATGCTGAAATTAGTTACTCTGTTGCAAGTTGATTTTTTTTAATTCAATATATAGACTTAATTGAAATTAAAACACATCATGTTTCATCACAGCATAATCCGACAAGTTTTTTCCCCCCAATAAAATCATAAATAAAGCACGAGTCTTCCACCTTAAAACCCTAGCTTGGTTCTACGCCAGTGCCTTGCTTAGCATTGTACCTGATAGTGTTGTCAGTCCTCATACGGATCCAGTAAGGAATGGGCCTGTTTTGCCTTTGCTTCTTCGCCAGTTTCTTCTTAATCATAAATGTCTATGTGACGGCATTTTCACCGGTTGGAGATTCTCAGCGCTAAGCTCTGATGCTGCTTGAACATTGAAACCCTCGATTGCAAGTTTACTATTGTAGCACTAAGTTCATACGCTTTTGGTGTTTTTGAATTTTCAGCAAATTGTGCGCCCATTTCAAAGAAGCATGCATTTTCACATCAACCTTTTCGCTTCAGCACCATGGACCTTATCGTTTTGTTGCGCTTTTCTTTATTACAAACACTGACCTTATCTCTGTTTGTGTCTTGCTAGTGCTCGGTGGATTGGTAATCATGGATTTTCTATAGGGATTGATGATGTCACACCTGGGGAAAACTTAGCTAAGCAAAAACAAGAAGAGATTCATCAAAATTACAAGAAATGTGAAGATCGTATTCAACAATTTAATGAAGGAAAACTTGCCGTGCAACCAGGCTGTGATGCTGCCCAGACTCTGGAGGCTGAAGTAACTATGGCGTTGAATAAAGTTCGTGACGACATAGGAAAAGTAAGAACAACTTATCTTTTCATGTGCTGCCTGTTTCCAACTAACAGTCGTCACTTGTAGGGATTTTATCTATCATAATAGGTTTACTGCTAGAACCTTCATGTCTTTGATCTCTTCCTAGCTTCCCTGACAGATAAAAGGAGGGAAAGCATGGACAAGGAGAGCTTAGCCACAATATTTAATAAAAAAGAAGGGCAGCTTGATGCACGAAACATCTTTCGTTCACGCAAGGTCCAGGGAAGGGCCGCACCCCGATGGGGTGTAATATAGGCAGCCTACCGTGATGCAAACATAAGTGGCTGATTTCACGACTCGAACCTGTGACCTATAGGTCACTCGGAGACAACTTTACCATTGCTCCAAGGCTCCCCTTCCTTAGCCACAATATACAAACATTTAAAACTTCAAGACCGAGTGAAGTGCTAAACTTGTGAAAGTAAAACAGTAAGTATAGAAGGCAAAGAGTTACGTTTGGCTGCTGACTGAAGTGCTCATCATGTAAACAGCAGCTCGAATGGAACACCATAAGTCAATCTGAATAAACCATATCTGATGATGTTAAAGTTCAATTCGTCAATTAAAGAGTTGTGCCTACTCCCTACCCATATAAAGTATAGGAAAACCTGTGTGCATTAAAGCCTTCAAAATCCAGGAGCCTAATTTAGACATAATCCTCAAAAAGCAGCCCCCCTGCAAAATCTACTGTCCTAAGACCTTATGTTTCCATAGTTTTTTTTGGCGCCTCTTCCCCGGTCTTCTATCAAAATTTTGTCAAATTAGAAAAACCCTTGCCAAATTGCACAAACCATTTTATGATTTAATCAAATTGCAGGCCAATTATATGTGGATTTATACATTATATTCATGCTCTTCTCCTGGAGAACAATGTCTCCTTGCATCAAAGAAGAGAGCCCAGTCAGTGATAGCGCCAACTTGTAGTGAGAATTTTCTTCCTTAAAGCAAATCGTCGTTTTAAGGTCCCACCAACCAATCTATGAAAAAAAAAGAAATTGAGTGGTTATTTGCATCCAAGGCCTGCATCAAATAATATTTAGAGTTAGGAGGCATGCTTCTTTGCAGTCTCTTTGTTTCCTCTTGGACCTTTCTCCCAGAGATATATAGTTGTTGTGATGTTTAGTTATTAACTCATAATGTCACATTTTCATACGGGATGATGGAGCAAATTTGCCTGAATATGAATTTTTTTACAGATCTGTATGAAAACACTACATTGGAGGAATAGTCCTCTGATCATGTCACAGTGTGGTTCAAAAGGATCCCCAATTAACATAAGCCAGATGATTGCATGTGTTGGTCAGCAGTCCGTTGGCGGTCGTCGTGCTGCTGATGGGTTCATAGATCGAAGTCTTCCTCATTTTCCTACCAAATCAAAGTTTCCAGCTGTGAGTACTTCATGTTACATTATCAGTTTATTTGTTATTCTCTGGATCTTTAGTCATCGCTCTTCCGACAAGAGCTCAAGGTCTTTTCTTGTACGCCTACCTATACTAGTAGTAGGTGGGATCCCTGAGAACATCCTCCTATTCTTGTCATAACTGTGTTCACTTTTTTTTTTTGTTCAATATTTTCAATTAAATTTATTAAGCTGCATCAGTTTGTTGCTGCCGAGGGTCTATCAGAAACAACCTCTCTACCTTATACAAGGTAGAGGTAAGATCTGAGTACACCCACCCTCCCCAGACCCCACTTATGGGATCATGCTGGGTATGTTGTTGTTGTTGTCTGTTGCTGCCATACAGTTATCATGATTTCGTATCTAATTCTTTATGTGACTGTCTTCAGTAACACAGTGTCATATATAGTTATTTCAGCGGACTACACGTAGGGATGGCAATGGGGCGGTGCGGGTGCGGGGCGGTGCGGGTTTAGACATATGCGGGGCGGGGCGGGTTTGGACAAATGCGGGTGCGGGGCAGTGCGGGGCAGTGCGGGGCGGGTTAAAATATATCTTTTAGATATATGTGCGGTGTGGGTGCGGGTGTGGGTGCATGACTTTGTGCTAATTCTCTTCAACCTTTTTTGTTCCTCTCTCCGCTCAATCTCTAAAGACAGAAGCCTGAAGCTCTCTATTAGTGATAAAATGAAGAAGATTCAAATTCTTTATATAGAAATCAAAGCATATTAAGTATTGAAATCGTTCTATCACTTAAACCTGTAGACTTAACTTCACAGCAATTAATACATTAAGAATTTAATTTGGTTTATTCTGTTACTCGGATTTAGCTTCCGATTTCGGTGAAAAGTTTCAAATTTTTCTGTGCTTATCTTTCTTGCAAATAGTGACAGAATCCAGCTTAAATTTACAAATACTTAAGTAAATTATAAAGCAAAAAAAGAAAACCCAAATATCAAAAGATATTGTTTTTAATGTTTAGTCTTAGTGTTTAGCTTCTGTATGCTTATCTACTTAATTGCAACAGATTGACAATGGCATATATACAAAGAAAGCAAAAATGAATAAACATAAAAATAAGACATTTTTTTTAAAAATGAAAATTTTGGGCTTGGCGGGGCGGGTGTTGCGGGGCGGGTGAACGCGGGTGGGATGCGGGGCGGGTGAACGTGGGTAAAGTGCTATGCGGGGCGGGGGCGGGGCGGGTTGAAATTTTGCGGGTTAAGGCAGAACCCGCCCCGCACCGCTTGCCATTCCTAACTACACGTTAGAATTGTTTCTCATTCACGTACGTGGCTGTACTTGTACTATTTAATGATTGACCGGATGCCTTAGGTGAGATGCCTTTTGCAGATAGTGCTAGTGACTGTTGTGTCTGTCTATTCTACCAATGGAAGTTCACAGCTGCCCACTCGTTAGCTTTTGGTCTATCTGTTCTACCAATGGAAGTTAACCTCAGCTCAATTGCCTCTCGTATATTCTAGTTACTTTGAGTTGGCTGAAGAAATGGTAATGAACTGGAAACCTAATAAGAGTGGATAGATGTGGTGCTTTTGAACACATAAGGATGATTCTGAATTTTATAAAGGAACACATTCTTTGCTGGCTGCCATCTGTTGTGGGGAGAACAACATTTCTTTGGTGGGGCCGTGGGGAAGACGTATCCTAGGGACTAGGCACATTTACCATGTTCTGCAGCAGGGGTAGATGCGCTCTCCATGTCACGGCTGTTTCTACTGTGAGATCCCAGAATTATTCCTTTGATAAGCCATTATATGTAGGTCTAAGTGGTCATGTGGTGCACTATCTTTGGTTCCAGGAATGGGAAAGGGAGGGGACGGTTTACTTCACTTAGGTTAAGTATTAATGATATAAAAATAAGAGAGAGAAGCAGATACTTCGTTGGTTTTGACGATTTGATGATTAAAGGACACACCTATATAGGTGTCAAATGGAAGACTATCCAATTTCTTTGTAGTTTCCTGGTAAGACATTCCTTTCAGATTTTGATCTTTCTTTGTTTTATTCAATCACTTTTTAAGTGATTGGTTAAAAACTGAGATATAGTGACGGAGAGATGGGAATAAATTATATGACATCATGGAGAACATTGATTGCTCAGAAGCTTGGTATGACTGGGTTGAGAGAAGGACAAATACTTTATGCTGCATGTCAGTGAGTAGGAAGGTGCTTTTATGGTTGTGTCAACTGCCTTTAAAATGGTTTATTCAGATTCATCAATTGCAGTTATGTTATTTTAAGTAAGAGATGCTTAAAGTAATTATTGTTGTTACTTATGCACTCAATTGTACAAATTGCTTGTACGTACGCCCGTGGATGCTGATTACAGTTATGTTTTTGGTCCAGGCTAAAGGGTTTGTAGCGCATTCCTTTTTTGACGGTTTGTCAGCAACTGAGTTCTTTTTTCACACAATGGGAGGAAGAGAAGGCCTTGTTGATACGGCAGTATGGATTTCCTCTTTCGACTTATTTGATGGCGTTACTATTTATTTCTCATTCGGATTTTAGATATGTTTACCTGAATTCTTCATTTGTCTGCCTTGACGTACTTGTATGGAACGGATGTGATATAAATGCGGATACTTGTAGATTTTTTGAAATGCAGTAAATAACATAAAGATTGCACAAACTCGTATCGGATGCTTAACACGCCTGTATCAGATATGAGAGTGCATGTAACATAGGATGTGTCCGGATCCAACAGATTCTTACTGATGTCTTCCTTTAAGTGCCAAGGCTAAAGTTTTGCCAGTGTTGGATGTTCATCCATTTCGATCGTCACAGGTTAAAACTGCTGACACCGGATACATGTCTCGTCGACTTATGAAAGCTTTAGAGGACCTTGCTGTTTATTATGACAACACTGTACGAAATGCCAGCGCAAGTATAATTCAGTTCATGTATGGTGATGATGGCATGGATCCTTCACAGATGGAAGAGAAAAAAGGCCGTCCTCTGAACTTTAGCAGATTATTTATGAAAGTTAAGGTATGAGCTTCAATTTTTTAATAGAATCCTCAAAAGTTTTATGGCGAAGGTTAGAAAATTTTGATAATAATTTCTATTTACAGGCAACGTGTCCTCCTAGAGGTGAGAAGGGTTTGTCTTACTNAAGAGTTGTGCCTACTCCCTACCCATATAAAGTATAGGAAAACCTCTGTGCATCAAAGCCTTCAAAATCCAGGAGCCTCATTTAGACATAATCCTCAAAAAGCAGCCCCCCGCAAAATCTACTGTCCTAAGACCTTATGTTTCCATAGTTTTTTTTGGCGCCTCTTCCCCGGTCTTCTTTCAAAATTTTGTCAAATTAGAAAAACCCTTGCCAAATTGCACAAACCATTTTATGATTTAATCAAATTGCGGCCAATTATATGTGGATTTATACATTATATTCATGCTCTTCTCCTGGAGAACAATGTCTCCTTGCATCAAAGAAGAGAGCCCAGTCAGTGGTAGTGCCAACTTGTAATGAGAATTTTCTTCCTTAAAGCAAATCGTTGCTTTAAGGTCCCACCAACCAATCTATGAAAAAAAAGAAATTGAGTGGTCATTTGCATCCAAGGCCTGCATCAAATAATATTTAGAGTTAGGAGGCATGCTTCTTTGCAGTCTCTTTGTTTCCTCTTGTACCTTTCTCCCAGAGATATATAGTTGTTGTGATGTTTAGTTATTAACTCATAATGTCACATTTTCATACGGGATGATGGAGCAAATTTGCCTGAATATGAATTTTTTTACAGATTTGTATGAAAACACTACATTGGAGGAATAGTCCTCTGATCATGTCACAGTGTGGTTCAAAAGGATCCCCAATTAACATAAGCCAGATGATTGCATGTGTTGGTCAGCAGTCCGTTGGCGGTCGTCGTGCTCCTGATGGGTTCATAGATCGAAGTCTTCCTCATTTTCCTACCAAATCAAAGTTTCCAGCTGTGAGTACTTCATGTTACATTATCAGTTTATTTGTTATTCTCTGGATCTTTAGTCATCGCTCTTCCGACAAGAGCTCAAGGTCTTTTCTTGTACGCCTACCTATACTAGTAGTAGGAACATCCTCCTATTCTTGTCATAACTGTGTTCACTTTTTTTTTTGTTCAATCTCTTCAATTAAATTTATTAAGCTGCATCAGTTTGTTGTTGCCGAGGGTCTATCAGAAACAACCTCTCTACCTTACACAAGGTAGAGGTAAGATCTGAGTACACCCACCCTCCCCAGACCCCACTTATGGGATCACGCTGGGTATGTTGTTGTTGTTGTCTGTTGCTGCCATACAGTTATCATGATTCCGTATCTAATTCTTTATGTCACTGTCTTCAGTAACACAGTGTCATATATAGTTATTTCAGCGGACTACACGTTAGAATTGTTTCTCATTCACGTACGTGGCTGTACTTGTACTATTAAATGATTGACCGGATGCCTTAGGTGAGATGCCTTTTGCAGATAGTGCTAGTGACTGTTGTGTCTGTCTATTCTACCAATGGAAGTTCACAGCTGCCCACTCGTTAGCTATTGGTCTATCTGTTCTACCAATGGAAGTTAACCTCAGCTCAATTGCCTCTCGTATATTCTAGTTACTTTGAGTTGGCTGAAGAAATGGTAATGAACTGGAAACCTAATAAGAGTGGATAGATGTGGTGCTTTTGAACACATAAGGATGATTCTGAATTTTATGAAGGAACACATTCTTTGCTAGCTGCCATCTGTTGTGGGGAGAACAACATTTCTTTGGTGGGGCCGTGGGGAAGATGTATCCTAGGAACTAGGCACATTTACCATGTTCTGCAGCAGGGGTAGATGGGCTCTCCATGTCACGGCTGTTTCTACTGTGAGATTCCAGAATTACTCCTTTGATAAGCCATTATATGTAGGTCTAAGTGGTCATGTGGTGCACTATCTTTGGTTCCAGGAATGGGAAAGGGAGGGGGCGGTTTACTTCACTTAGGTTAAGTATTAATGATATAAAAATAAGAGAGAGAAGCAGATACTTCGTTGGTTTTGACGATTTGATGATTATAGGACACCCCTATTTATAGGTGTCAAATGGAAGACTATCCAATTTCTTTGTAGTTTCCTGGTAAGACATTCCTTTCAGATTTTGATTTTTCTTTTTTTTTATTCAATCACTTTTTAAGTGATTGGTTAAAAACTGAGATATAGTGACAGAGAGATGGGAATAAATTATATGACATCATGGAGAACATTGATTGCTCAGAAGCTTGGTATGACTGGGTTGAGAGAAGGACAAATACTTTATGCTGCATGTCAGTGAGTAGTGTTAGATATAGCTATGTAGTTGTCCCACATTGGAAGAGGTGTAGTATGCCCTTTGTATAGAGTAGCTATAAATTAGCACATCTTGTATTGCATTAGACACACAATATCAATATATCATATTTTCTCCCGTGCCTTCTCACAAGTAGGAAGGTGCTTTTATGGTTGTGTCAACTGCCTTTAAAATGGTTTATTCAGATTCATCAATTGCAGTTATGTTATTTTAAGTAAGAGATGCTTAAAGTAATTATTGTTGTTACTTATGCACTCAATTGTACAAATTGCTTGTACGTACGCCCGTGGATGCTGATTACAGTTATGTTTTTGGTCCAGGCTAAAGGGTTTGTAGCTCATTCCTTTTTTGACGGTTTGTCAGCAACTGAGTTCTTTTTTCACACAATGGGAGGAAGAGAAGGCCTTGTTGATACGGCAGTATGGATTTCCTCTTTCGACTTATTTGATGGCGTTACTATTTATTTCTCATTCGAATTTTAGATATGTTTACCTGAATTCTTCATTTGTCTGCCTTGAGATACTTGTATGGAACGGATGTGATATAAATGTGGATACTTGTAGATTTTTTGAAATGCACTAAATATAAACATAAAGATTGCACAAACTCGTATCGGATGCTTAACACACCTGTATCAGATTAAGATATGAGAGTGCATGTAACATAGGATGTGTCCGGATCCAACAGATTCTTACTGATGTCTTCCTTTAAGTGTCAAGGCTAAAGTTTTGCCAGTGTTGGATGTTCATCCATTTCTTTCGTCACAGGTTAAAACTGCTGACACCGGATACATGTCTCGTCGACTTATGAAAGCTTTAGAGGACCTTGCTGTTTATTATGACAACACTGTACGAAATGCCAGCGCAAGTATAATTCAGTTCATGTATGGTGATGATGGCATGGATCCTTCACAGATGGAAGAGAAAAAAGGCCGTCCTCTGAACTTTAGCAGATTATTTATGAAAGTTAAGGTATGAGCTTCAATTTTTAAATAGAATCCTCAACTGTTTTATGGCGAAGGTCAGAAAATTTTGATAATAATTTCTATTTACAGGCAACGTGTCCTCCTAGAGGTGAGAAGGGTTTGTCTTACTCGGAAATCTGCGAGATAGTCAATGAAAGGCTCTCATATCATGATATGAGTCCTGAAGGGGGGTGCTCAGAGGCATTCCGGGCTTCATTATCAGATTTTCTGATTAAAAGTTTAGCTGAAACCTTGAAGAGATTACGGGAAGCCCTCTTATTGGGTGGAGAGCAGTATGCAGGGGGTGACCGTGAATATCTTGAAAAAGTTGCATTAAACATATCTGGTATTACAAAGAAGCAACTACAGGTAAATAGATTTAGAAGTTCCTTTTTGCCGTTCTCGAGGATTTTTGGGTAATTCCTTGCTCCAACTATAAGGGGTTTACTAACAGAATTTTGAGCAACAATTAAGTCACTACTTGATTTTTTTCCTTCATATATATATTGGTTATCCTTTAAGATGTGAAGTTATATTATAAAACTAATGTCATTGAGTATGATGCCAAATAGTTATTCAGATGTAGCTCATTATCTTGTCAGGAGTTCAATATGACATGTTTTCTATTACTGCTAGACTTTAAATTCTTATGGCTACTATATTATTGATAGAAGTTTGCTGATTGGCCAAATATAAATTAAATAAATAGCAAGAAAAAGCAAGAATTAAATCTTTGTTGCTCCTTGTGGAAACTTTATATACTTCGATCTAACCATTGTATGTCGCATTATTTGCTTTCCCTAGTGGATTCAATGAACTTTTATTTGCATTTCGCACTAATATAACAAAATATATGGATTCAAAATCTTTTTCAAAAGTTCTGTGTGCCCTTGAATGATAAAAATATGAAGTATGTGAACAGAATATGGCTGTTCTGCTTCACATACTGTAAAGGCGATACACTTTTGACTAGTGTAAAGATTTGCATAAAACAAAATGAGACAGAGGAAGTAATTTATTTTCAATCAAAAGTTTCATACACTAATTTGTCTGAAGTATCTAACAAGCTAGTGAATACTAAATTCAAGTTTAACTGGATCACAGCTTAAGTGTTTGATGATATGTCTCAAATGCTAACCAAGTAGATTTTAGTTCTCTACTTAGGAAAATGTTTCTCTTTTAAATGAATTTGTGTCTTAGTTTCAAATTTAAAAAAAAGTAAGCCCCGTAACGGGAAAAATCAAAGTTAAAGTCTAATAGATAAATGAATATGAATTCTTCAAATTTTGAAAGTCATATACAACAGTCTTTTTAGTTGAAGTGTGTCAGATATTTAGGGAGGTCCAAATTTAGAAAGAGTGTCGGCAAGCAAAGCGGTTATTGACCTTGATGTGTCACATTTGCTGTAAACCATCTTACGTTGCACTTTTTCTGTCAGTATTTTTAAAATCCTAGCCCTCTCCATGTAAACACGAGAATGTTATCCTATGTTAACTGTTCTGCTAGCCAAAATCATTTAAATTGGAATCAAGGAATAATTCTATAATATCCCCTGTAGTAGGACTTAAAAATAAAGATATAGCATGTAAAAATTGACATGAATCTGTGTCCGGTATTCTAGGAACAGTTGGGTATCAAAATAGGTTGCAAGACCTACGAGCTGTACTTCATTGAGTGAATACTTTCAATGGCAAATTTAGGAAAAGAAAGAAAGGAGAAACTTAGAGATAAATCTTTTCTACTTTAAAAAGAGAAAGTATCTGTAATTTCCCCAAGTAATAAAGTTACTAATAGCACTGTGTGGTGTGTGGGTTTTTATTTTTCCTTGCTTCTTTGTAGGTGTTCCTCAACATGTGCATCTCTCGCTATCACCTGAAGAGGCTAGAATCGGGAACTGCTATTGGTGCAATTGGAGCTCAGAGTATTGGGGAACCTGGGACACAGATGACATTGAAAACCTTTCACTTTGCTGGAGTTGCAAGCATGAGTATCCTTGTTTATTTGGAGCTTAATTTTGCATCTTCAAGTTGGTTTTTTTGGATAGTCTAGATGGGTGTTTATGATATCATCCTGTTTCTTTAACTCTTTGGTAGACGTTACACTTGGAGTTCCTCGAATAAAAGAAATTATAAATGCAGCAAAAAAGATCAATACTCCTATTATTACTGCAAAACTTCTGTCTGCTGCTAATTTAACTGCAGCAAGGATGATTAAAGCCCGCATTGAGAAAACTCTTTTGGGACAGGTAAGTTACTTGTATTTGCTAAATCTTTTTAGACTTAATGCCTCAGTTGACACCTCGACTTAATCCGTTTTGCAAAGCTGGCCCCTAAGTTCCTTTTTTTTCGTTTAAACACCTGTACTTGGTAAAAACACATTTCAAACGCTTCTGAAATAGAAATAGCGCGTATCTCTCAATCGCTCTTATGTGTTATACACACCGTATAACTTTTTGACACATCACAGACAAAAGAATGACACGTCAAGGCATACTATAATTGGCAACTTATTCATCTGGAAACCATTCCTCTCCTTCCCCTTGACTGCCTCTTTATTCGCTAACTCCAACCACCACTTCCTTGACGACCTTATCTCCTTTGTACCTTCTCTATGTTCTCATCTCCTCCACCATTTATCACTGCCAGCGCCCTCAAGCGGGGCATCCCAACATCACCAGGCCTCCACCTCTTACTCATCTCCACCCTCATTGACCACTGAGCATATTGCCTCCACCTAAGTTGCTTGGACTTGGGAGCGGGTGTCCGATACGGGTACGGATCTAGAGGTTGGATTCATGATCTAAATTTTAAGATTCGGGGTGCGGATCTAGGTATGGTTGTGGGTGCAAGCATTCGGCTAAAAATAATTCAAATATCTAAAAATAGAGTTATATAAAATATTATTAAATTATGAGACAGTATGTGAAAAACTTACAAGGTATTCCGAGGAGGAGAAAAATATTGATCAAGAGGAGAATCTGAGGAGATAAAAGGAAAAGGAACGACACAGAAATTTTTATGTACAAGGTATTCTATTTTCTTCAAATTCATCTTGGCATTTATTTTGATTCAAAAAATCATTGTATCTGTCCCGAATTTCTCCGTTGATTTTGGCCAAAGTACGCAAAATCAGTTGACCAAATCCGTTACGGATCCTACACCCACACCCATGTCGTGTCGACACGGGTGCGGCACCGAAAGTGAAGAGTCCAAGCAACTTAGGCCTCCACCACTTCCTCTCTTGTATACTCTTCACCTCCACCCGTCTACAATGCTCCTTGTGCACACCCACCACTGCCCTCCTAGCCATTTTGCTTTCTTTGTTGACCGGCAAGATCCCTGTTTTTCAATCACGAATCCAACCTCCTACAACTCTTATAGGTCCGGTCTGCTCTTGTTGGCTTCAAAATTCAAGTTGGGTAAGAGTGGTACGGATAGAACTCAAAGGATGGGATTTGGAGTTGGGGATATTGAAGATCATGAGGCATGAGGAATTTGGTAATTTGATTATTTTGACCTTTGGTTTTTAGGCCAATTCTACAAGAAACATTAAATTTTGATGGCAGCAGAAAGCATAGCAGTGTTTGGAGAGCGGTGACCAAAGAAAAAGAAAGTAGAAAGAAAGATAACAGGGATGATTTTCATATTTGCGCTCTCCACACATGCTTTTAAGCCACATCATCGAAACCGATGCCACATGAGCATGGTCAATGGTGTTTAAAATACGTGTCTTTACCAAGTATAGGTCTTTAAATGGGAAAAAGGGGAGTCGGGGGCCGTCTTTGCTGACCGGGACAAGTGAGATGTCAATTTAGGTATTAAGCAGTCTTTGTTATGATAGAATAGTTGCTTAGTCACTTGAACTGCTTACTGTGCAAGAATGCTGCTAGAGATGGTTGCCTTTTCTTTTTTTTACTTCATAGTTTGCATCTTCAACTAAATCATTGATAATAACACTACCGAGCCCTAGTTGGATTGCTACACTGCTTCTTTCTCAGAAGCTTTTATCAAATGACTCCTATAATAGCCTTACGTACACTGGGCTTCTCAATTGAAAATCTACTGAAAGCAATGCCGGCAAGAACTCAAATTTTAACTTTGGTATAACTCATGCAACATTTTCAACTTTCTACATAACTTATGTAGCATTTACTTGTTCTGGAAAATATGAAGTTCATGAAAAGCTACTTAAAATCTGTAAAATATTATGCATAATATTAAAAATATTCCTTGCCCTGTTTAGAGCAATATATTTGATCCCTGCCATTTCTTCTTCGACTCAAACCTCCCTGATTAATTTGTGAAGCTCTCATAATGGCATTGAACTACGTACTTTGTGAAGAACATTTATTTCCTATGCAGGTGGCTAAGAGTGTAAAGATTGTGATGGCGTCTCGATTAGCATCAATTGCTATTACGCTAGATATGGAGACAATTCAGGTGTCACAGCTGTGTATTGATGCTTATACTGTCAAGCAATCGATTTTGCAGACCCCAAAAATAAAATTGAAAGAACAGGTGAGAAAGTTCTGTTTCTGGTTCGGCTGCTTATCTATTAATGATATCTTATTGGGTAAAATTCCTATTTGCTGCAGCAAGTAAAAGTTTTGAACCCCAGGAAGCTGGAAGTTTTTCCTCAGGCTAACAAAGATAAACTGCATTTTGAACTTCACCGGTTGAAAAATAAGCTTCCTGCTGTTGTTGTGAAGGTATGACAATTATCAAGACTTAAATCAAATTAAATCTGTGGGTTTTTGTCCGAACTACTCTGTTCACTTCAACTTGTAAATCTTGTCGGGATGTCAGGGTATTACTACGGTTCAAAGGGCTGTGGTGAACAAAGAACAAGAAAGAGATCGTAAGAGTGATGTCAAAGGAGAAACATATGAGTTGCTTGTTGAAGGGTAAGTTTTATGTACGGCTTCGGCATTCTACATAATTTGGTTGTGCTCTGTTTGGTGTGGGAAGCCTGTTATTCGCTACAATATTCTGATAACTAGATGCATTCAAGATCTCAGAACTTATTTCTCTTTTCGGAAGAGAGGTTCCAAAAGTTATTTCACTTTCACATACCTTATTCTGTTTTGTTGAATTGAAGAATAACCTAAGAGGAGGGCTAGTTAGGTTATCAAAAACGTTGCACCAATCTAGAGAATTTGAAACCTCCTTCTCAAACAATTGCTTAAAGTGAAGTAGATTAGAACTTGGGTCAATCTTAGTCTTTGTAACCTCCTTTTGGACAGATCCTTTTCAGCCAGGGTAGTCTCGGGCTGATAATGGCCCCCTTACCAAATTGATTATCTTCAATTATTTATAGCTCTAACATTAGATATTCATCTAATTGTATCTATCAAAATAAATTGGTAAATCTTAATTTAAAAGTATATTCATTAGCAAACATAGTGTATTTAACTAGTCAATGGCTACAAATACACATTAAAATCCAGCAAAGTTGTTGCAAATTTGTCTGCTATTTTTTTCTTTGGGACTTGCATACGCATGCTATGTTTGCAATTAATGATTTAGACATAGTCTCAATATCATAACAGTACACCAAACGAATTTAAAAATTAAATGCAATTATGATCTCAAATATATGAAAGAAGACAAAAAACTGTAACTGCGGGCTGCATTTTATGTCTATGCAGGCAGCGTAAGGCTGTCGGCTGTTACATGAAAATTACTGTTCTACCAAGAATCTTGAGGCTCTGATACCATATTGAAGCGTCTCACCTACCTCGTCTAAAAGTTTAAGTTGTTAGAAAGAAGGAACACTGTAAAATATTTATTTATCTATGTAAATTTAGGCCTGTTACATTTTTAAAAATTAAGGAATAACTTTGAAATTTGTCTTTTCAATTGGAAAAAGTAATTAATGGAACAATTTTAATCATGAGGTCATGATTTGGAGCTGTTTTGGGGCTGGTTTGTTGCAGTTAGATCATTTAAAAAGATTTGAAAGGATTATAAAGTAGGGAAAAGGTCCAAAATTGGCCCTCTACTATGGTATATAGTTTAAGTTTGTCCCCCGTTATACTTTTCGTTCAAATCCACCCCTACCGTTAACAAACTTTCTAGAATTGCTCTTAACCCTAACAGCCCTCCACCGTGACACCCAATCCCTCTATTAATTTGTCCATGTCAGCTGCCATATCAGCAGGCCCCACACACTAAAAGTCGCAGAAAAATATTTTTTACTCTTTCTTTCACATTTTCCCCCTCTTTTTCTATTTCTTCACGTTTTCATGTTCTTCTCCGGCGACGCCATTTCTTTCCCTACTTTCTCAAAACCCAAATCTGATTTCAAGGAAGGCAACCTCAATTCAAAAAGATTTCAAACCCAAACTCTAAATTTTCAAACCTCAGTTCTTCTATTTTTATTCTTTTTCTTTTCTTTATTTTCTTCATCCCCAGAATTTTACCGAAAATTGTACTAATGCTTTTCGTTGGTCGAAAATGGGGCTATTGGCTATGACGATTTGTTTGGGGATGTCGCTACTAGAATATTCTGGTTGCGGAGTTCGGCAGCGGCTCGATTTTAGGTTGTGGCGGATGGCTATAAGCTTAGATGCTGCTTTAATGGTGGTTTTGGAGTGGGATAAAATTAATAGGATCACGGGACGGTGGTGCTACTGGACGGATGAACTCAAAAATTAAGAACATGAACACTCGTATTCCATTTAGAGTTGCAACCACCAACTCAAAATTCCTTCTACTGGTGACTTTATTTCTACTTGTTAGTGAAGTCCCCCCTAGCTTCCTTCTTCACATTATTTCATCGAAAATAGAGCCTTTTGACAGAGAATTTCTATTCTTCTTTTTTTCTTGTTTTTCTTCATCCCTAGAATTTCACCGGAATGTGTACTACTCAGAGTGTTTAATCTGGTAGGATTTGAGCAAATCTAAGGTATTATTTGGTCGGAAAGTCCCACTTCAAGAAGATGAATAAATCTGGGTTTTTGTTTGTTCTTCTTGTTGGTTAGTTCATATTTACTTTATCACCGTTAAAATCCTTCTGTTAATGAGAGGTTTTGGGTATAGTGTAGTTGGTTTGAGGAGAAAGAACAAATATGGGTGGAGAAGATTCTTGAAATTTTAAAATAAATTTTATGTTTTTTCCTTATCTCAAAAAGTGGGTGAAAATGGGTAATTGCTAAAAAATTATGGGCGGATGAAGGTAATCCTTTTTTTCTTCTCCTGGAGAGTGAGAAACTAGATGATATTTTTTAATTTTTTGAAAATGGATGTCACTTTAATATTCTTTGGTGGTTGAAAATGGATGTTACTTTAATGGTGAATTTGTTTTGGATTGAAAGAGGAAGATGAAGGTCATGGAGTCTGGTGTGTGATGATGAGGTTAATTTTAATGTGGGACCTGCTGATATGGTAGCTCACATGGACAAACTAATAGAGGGATTGGGTGCCACGGTGGAGGGCTGTTAGGGTTAAGGGCAATTGTAGAAAGTTTGTTAACGGTAGGGGTGGATTTGAACGAAAAGCATAACGGGGGACAAACTTAAACTATATACCATAGTATAGGGGCAATTTTGGACCTGTTCCCTATAAAGTATGTGCAGGAAATCTGTATTTGTTTGTTTGATTGAGAGGTTATCTGGAAGGCTAGCAACTCATCTAATCAAATTTTATTTCAAAATAATATTGTCTAATATAGTTTCGAGGATCTTGTGAAGAAGTGTACAAGAGAGTAACAATCCTACCTTACTGTTTTGGTTCAATTTTCAGCAGCTTGGGCTTTTGGTTTTCTTTTCTGGGACCCCATGATCCAGTTAGTTCTTGCAATAAAATAGAAGTCCTTCCATACGATACCTGATTTGCTCTTTCCTTTCTGCAGTACCGGTCTCCTAGCCGTAATGGGCATTGACGGAGTTGATGGGCGTAATACAAAGAGTAATCATATAATGGAGGTGCAACAAAGATTAGGCATTGAAGCAGCAAGGATCTCTATAATTGATGAGATTAACTATACCATGTCAAGTCATGGAATGACAATAGACTTGCGGCACATGATGCTTCTAGCAGATCTGATGACATATAAGGTAGTTCTCCTGGAAAATTTTTCCTCATCCAAAAACATGTTGGACTCCTTTAATGTCCGATTAACAAGTTTAATGGACACTCTTTTTTTTTCTTTCATAGGGTGAAGTTCTGGGAATAACCAGACATGGCGTTCAGAAAATGAAAGATAGCGTACTGATGTTAGCCTCATTTGAGAAGACAACTGACCACCTGTTTAATGCATCTGTAAATGGAAGGGATGATAAGATAGAAGGAGTTAGTGAATGCATCATCATGGGCATACCAATGCAGATAGGCACTGGGATGTTTAAACTTCGGCAATGGTATGTGTTTGATATTTTGGCATGAAAATTTTAATCTTGAACCTTAGCGTATCTTATATGTGTGTCGTAATTATTTGAATAAGCTAATCATCAGAAGCTCCAAAGAGAGAAAATTGATTAGTCTACACAACCTTTAAGGTCTTGTTGCTAGATCAGAGAAGTAGTATTCTGAGGAATGGTTTCTTTTCATATAATAATCTAGTGTTGGCCTATCTTTGCTTCCGACTGATGCAGGACGAGAAGGGAGATGGGATAAATGGTAGAAAATTAAAGAAAAGTGGGCGAACTAGAGAAGAATAAGATAAACCACAGAGATTTCTATCATAGGGTTAAGTCACTCTTTTTTGTGCAAGTTTCTGAAACAAAATAAACGAAGTCTTATTTATAGAGTAGGGGGTCCTAAACAAGATTTTCTATTTTGTTCCAATTACGTGCAGTTATTGTAGTAGCTCCTAAATCCTAGCTGCATATTAAAGTGACTTTTCTATCTGTGGTGAATCTCTAAAATCCAATGAAATTCAAACGTCTGCTTTGGTAGGGTAATTCCAGAATAACTTGGTTATTTTGATCCCTCTACTTATCATATTTTATCCTTTATTCCTGCCCTCTTCTCTTGTCATTCTTGTGAATGTCTTTATAGTTTGATGTTCTTCGTGCAGTCCAAGTTAACTAATCCCTTGTTTCCCGATGTTTGGTCTTTCCTTTGTCTATGCCAGTGTTCAGCAGGTTGAGCTGAATTATCAATCAGAACCTATGTTATCCTAGGACTTCTAAATGAATTTGTCTGGTTCTGCATAGTTAATATTTTGTCAATGCCTCAATGGCATTTGGGAGGCGCTGCTGAATTCTCTTGGAAGGATAATGGCAGAGGTAAAGATGAATTTAATATGAGGAGAATATGCACTCTTTTTGTGGCTTGATATTTCGATGCAGCTGCTTGTTTTCTTCTCCCATTGCATATTGTGCATCAAAATTTGTTTTTACAGTTCCTAATCTGGGAACTATTCTTCAAAATGCTTTAATGGATAGTGTATTTACTTTTCTGCCCTTTTTCCTTCTGCTTATTGTTTTCCTTCTATTTTTCATGGGGCACCCACTCCCGGGTTTGGGGGAGGACGGAATTGGAAAAGCTGGAGCATTGTCAGATGTTATTGGATATTATTTAGGTGCTACCTTTCTTGATTTAACCATCTTACCTTTTTATCTTCTTTGGCACTGAATTTACAGGTAGACGACTTGCAATATTTCTTCATGTGGCGTGATATGCAGATGCTAGCATTGACCATGCAACATCAGGTGAATTTAAAAGAAATCATGGAAGGAGGCCGTCTTACCAACACCTAGAAGATTGGTATCATCAACCTTATAATATAGAAAGTTACTTTGGCCCCTGGTTGTATTCATGTTTGCGGGGGACACTGTTTTCATCTTTATTTAAGGCAAAAAGTAACGTCGGGAGTCCCTCCTCCAGCCTGTGGTAACACATCCTTATGTTGCTCCATGGTTGCTGATGCAGATTTTGTTAGTATTTTCATGATTCATTTGCAAAAAGTCTTGGCATATTGATAACTCATACTGGGAATCTTCCCTCAGGGAATTGCAGAATGTCTAGCTATCCAACCATTTGTTAAGAGGAATAGGAGTAGTGTACAGTCTGTGAAGCAATAGAAGCAAATTAGGACATTTGAATTATAATTTTCGGAAGAGGGATTTATGCTTTTGGCATAAATTTCCTAGTTTACGTTTATTCAGAGTCAAGATAGAAAAGTAACTTATGAGAAAGGGAATTGCACTTTTTTGTTTCTGGAGTTCACCAGAGTAACCCTTTGAGACCCCGAATACCTCTCTCGCAGCTTCCGTAATGCACTATGCAGTCGTGGTCCACATAGCGCTTGTGTCACCACTACTCCTCCAAGCCCCCATAGTCACCAGCTTGACCCCCAACTCTTGCGCTTTAGTTTCCGTCAAGGCTCCCCACTTTATTCTATGTTGGCTATACATCGCCCTCTTCCTCCTCTTCCTCATGATCTCAAGGTCCATGACCAGGAGCCTATGAAGGGTCGAGAGGTTCTCACTTGGGATGACCGTGCAATCTGTGCGAAGACCTCTATCGGACTTCCTGCAAAGTAGATAATCAATCTGAGTCTCGGCTACAGAACTCCGGAAGGTGACCAAGTGCTCCCTCTTCTTCGGGAAACTCGAATTTGCTATCACCAATTCAAATGCTCTAGCAAAGTCCAGCAGAGACGTTCCTCCTCCGTTTCTATCTCCAAAACCAAAGCCACCATGCACATCATCATACCCCCATACGTCGCTCCAATGTGGCCGTTGAAATCTCCTTCTATGAAAAGCTTCTCGGTATGCGGGATACCACGCACCATCTCATCCAAATCCTTGCAGAAACGTCTCTTGACTTCCTCATCCAAGCCTGCTTGGGGTGCGTATCCACTGATTATGTTCAAAGTAAAATTTCCAACAACTAGCTTGATAGTCATCAGCCTGTCATTCATCCTCCTAACTTCCACCACTAGTTCATGGAGGTCCTTATCAACCAAGATACCTACCCCGTTCCTGACCCACCCTCCCAGAATACCAAAGTTTGAAACTGCCCGCATCTCATACCTTTCCAAAAGAGGCAAGGTCCGCAATAGGCTAGCTACTCCATACAAAGTATTCTTTGTTATAGGCATCTCTAGCGTTAGACATTTGCATCTCAATTCTGGAAGTGGAACTCCTTCGAGTTGCAACATGAAAACGACCTGGAGAAATAATCCAAATGAAGATAGTACAGCATACAGAATGAATCAACAACAAAGGAAAGTGATCCACAGCGAAAAGACAATGCTATGACAAATCTAACCACTTACAACAACAATGTACAGAAGGTTAGTTTCTAAAATAATCTATTGTCAATAAAGAAGTGTCAAAATTCAGAAAGTAGATAGGAAGATCATGAAAGGTCACAAAAAGGCAAAGATGAGATCATTCTGTATGCATTAAAGAAAAATTCTTTCAGTTATTCAACCAAAAATTCTTTTTTCACGGAATAATTATATTCATTCTGAAGGCTCTTTTCATAATCTACATCCTGCAATTCTCTTGTAAAAATCAGATATCAAATAAGGTCGTTTGACATAAAAACAAACCTCTGCTAACCAACTTCCAATTTTGAGCTAAGTCACATGACTCAACTTTTCAAGATAGTCCAGAACAAGGTTTCTGAAAGCTTGATGATAATCAGGACAATTGTCTTCCTCAACATCATCTTCCTCTTCCTCTTCCCCAATATAAGTCCCGCCATCCCCATTGATACAGATAATGCTAAAAGTGAGGCTGGCAGTAACCAAAGAGAAAACATTTACTAGCCTACACATGAGATGTCCAAGATGTCCTGAAATCTCCAAATGCTGAAGATGTGGGGCAACAATTTCCAAAGAATCGAATCCTCCGTCACCATCTAATATTAGTCTCTTTAAATTTGGAGACGTAATTTCAAGACGACGAAAATCCTGGAAGCATGACAACTCCAAGGTTTCCAGCGCAGGACAACTTGACAGTAATTTCACCATATCGTCATCGTCTAACGTTATTACATCCAGCTTTAGGCTCTTTAGTGAGTTCCAAGCTATGAGTAGTCCTTTATCAAACACCCAATAGAGCAACTCCAATGTAATCAATGAAGAACTAGTGTAGATAAATAGAGGCAATTGGTAAGTGAGTCCAAGGTTACACCATACAAAATCTTCCACTTTTCTTTCCACAGCAAAGCTAACCCATCGGTTGATTTCCGATTCAAAGTTCGTTATATAGATGTGACTTAAATCGAGTTTGAATTTTTTGATTTTGGAACAAGTGGAATGAGTCAAAACGTTCTCCACGAAGGATTTGAAGTTTTCTGGTTCCTTGTAATAAAAATCTTCGAAAAGGAAGTTATAAATTGAATGCCAGAGATAACGCCACCTTTTAGAGAGAAGACATGATTTGACGGCATCTTTGGTGGGCAAAAGAGAGAGAATTTGTACCAAGAGTGCGTCCGGCAACTGACTGATATAGTCGTCTAGGGTTTCTTTAGCTCCAGTGACTCCATTCTTCTGTTTCTTCGACATTAAATCTCCTAAATTACTACTACTACTGCTGCTGGTACTACTAAAAACTCCATTTCTGCTGGAACGGCGTGAAGCCATGATTTGAAGAGGAGAGTGTTTTGGGAAATTTCCTAAAAAGTTGTTCTCATCATCTTGCTTTCTTTTGGTTTCTCTGGTTTCTTTTTCTACTTCGCCCTTTTAAAAATCCCGCGGCGTTTTCTAATGAGTATAATTTATCAAATTATATATAAATTAATTTTAAATGAGTATCTCTTTATATTAGGAATTGAATAAGGAATAAGTTATTTCTCATCCTTATTCTCTCTCCATCTCTCTATCTCTGTTCTTTCCCAATTCTTCTTCCTCCGATGTTATATATTTTTTATCCTTTCATGTTGTATATATTGTTAATGGAATTCATCAATGGATTTCAATCATTTTACTATAGAATTTTAACTTAATAATTTCCTTTTGTGTTGCACAATTGGTGTTCAAATTGAAATTGTCAATCAATAAATATTTGACTCTCAACCATTTACAGTCATTAAAAAGCTTTGAAGCTTTGAATTCGAATTTGGGTTTTCAAAAACCATTATTTGTTTGGATTGGGTATTGTTGCAAACAATTAGGAATATTATTTGGAGTTTATATCTCAATTTTGAGGGTGCTTGGTGAAGATTAGACTTGATTTTGGTTGAATTTCATATTGAAGGAAGAAGAAGAACACATGATATAAAATATACTTACGAAATTGTACTAAGGTCGTATTATAATTGTATGTATATATATATATATATATATATATATATATATTTGAATGTTGTATGAAAGTTGAAAAATAGTTATATAATGTATGAATTGTTGTATGAAATTTGTATTTAAGTTATAAATACTATATTTTTACTTAAGTTGTTGATATGTATCAAAATTGTATTAGAAGAGAAAATTTTGATTGAAATTTCTGAGAGGAAGAAGAACACACTACATACAAAATATATACAAATCTTTTACAAAATACATACAAAAGACATATTTTATAAAATTTGTATGACAAATGTATTTAAATTGTATGATATTGTAGTTGTATTTAACCGGGTAAAAATGATATATGAAAGTTGTAGATAAGTTAAAAATAAGTTGTATATTATATAATTAGTTGTATAAAATTTATTTTTAGTTCATATATTGTTGTAGATGTATCAAATTTGTACGAAATTTATTTTTAATTTGTACGTTATCGTACCATATATTATTTTTTTTACTCAATTTGTTAAAGAAAAAAAGTAGAAAATAAATTCCAAAATTGACTCATATGCACTGATTCATGTTTGTTTAAACTAAAAAACTTGAATATTATAGCAGTAATAGTGACTGATAATTGCAATCCATAGGTAACTGATTTGATTGCACCTGCTAACTTAAGTATTAGCGTCAACACTAATATCTTTCAACTTCTTTGTTCTAGTCAGATATGTTATTCGATAGTTTTTCCAATTCTTTTTGTAGGCAATCTCAACTTTCTTAATAAAGCAGCAAAAGAAGTCAATTTAATATGAACAGTAATGAATTAGAATTGCAATGGTGTTGTAACGACCCGGCCGGTCGTTTCGTGAATTATAGCCATGTTTCCCCCATTTCTGCTTCCTTATGTGTTCCTCAGCTGTATTTCATCGTATCGTGTTGGTTGGTTGAGGTCCGGAATGGTTTCGGTGTGGAATGAGACACTTAGTCTCCTATTTAGTAATTTAAGTTGAAAAAGTCAACCCGATGTTGACTTATGTGTAAATGATCTCGAATGTGGATTCTCATGGTTCGGTTAGCTCCGTTAGGTGATTTTGGACTTGGGCGCGTCCGGAATGTGATTTGGAGGTCCGTGGTAGATTTAGGCTTGAATTGACGAAATTGGAAATTTGGCGTTTTTTGGTCGGAAGCGGAAATTTTGATATCGGGGTCGGAATGGAATTCCGGAAGTTGGAGTAGGTTCGTAGTGTCATTTGTGATGTGTGTGCAAAATTTTAAGTCATTCGGACAAGGTTTGGTAGGTTTCGGCATCGTTTGCAGAAGTCGGAAGTTTAGAAGTTCTTAGGCTTGAATCCGAGGGTAATTTGGTATTTTGATGTTGTTTTGAGTGTTCCGAAGGTTCGACTAAGTCCGTATGTTGATATGTGACTTGTTTGTATGTTTGGTAGAGGTCCCAAGGGCCTCGGGTTGATTTCGGATGGTTGACAGAACAAGGTTGGAATTTGAGGGATGCTGAAGATTTCACTCAGCTACCATAACTGGACCTGCGGAGTGCGGACCGCAGGTGTGGGCCCGCAGAAGCGGAAAAGCAACAGCAGAAGCGGTCAAGGCTAAGGAGGGCAAGAACCGCAGGTGCGATGAGTGGAGAGCACCTGCGAGGCCGCGGGTGCGGGGATTGGACCGCAGAAGCGGTTTCTGGGATTTAAGTGAGAACCGCACCTACAATGGATTTTCCGCAGGTGCGGCGTCGCAAAAGCGACATGTGGACCGCAGATGCGGAAGTTCTGGGCAGAAGGTACAAATTAAACCCTTCGCAAATTTTTGGGTACTCTTCACCATTTCTATCCGAATTTTGAAGCTTTTGGAGAGTTTTGAAGAGGGAATCAAGGGGGTTTTCATTGAGGTAAGTTACTTGAGCCTAATACTCGTGATTATGGTGATTTTCAGTTGTTTAAACATATAATTAGTAGAAATTAGGGATGAAAATGAGGGTTTAGTGCTTGGGAATTGGAGAGTTTGATTTGGGGATTTGAGGGACCATTTAATATCGGATTTTGATGAATTTGGTATGGATAGACTCGTGAGTGAAAGGGCTTTCTAGTTTTGTAATTTTGTCGGATTCCGAGACGTGGGCCGGGGGGCCGAGTTTGGGTGAATTTCGGGATTTTGGTCTAAATTGATAGTTTTTCGTGTGGAAATTGGTTCCTTGGCCTATATTGATTGCATTGTATTGTTTTTGGTTAGATTCGGGACGTTTTGGGGCCGATTCCAAAGGCAAGGGCGTCGTAGAGTAGGGATTTGACCAGTTTGAGGTAAGCAATGATTGTAAATCTAGTCCTGAGGGCATGAAACCCCGAATTTCGTATCGTTTTACTACTTTGAGGTGACGCACATGCTAGGTGACAGGCGTGTGGGCGTGCATCGTTGGGGATTGTGACTTGGTCTGTCCCGCAACAACTATAAAGTTGCGTATTTGACTGAAACTATATGATACTTATGTGTTTTAGAAAGAATTTCTATTAATTGGGCTGAATGCCATATTTGGGCCTTGAGCCAGAGCTGTTTGGACCCTTAGGGGCCTTTTCTTATTATTCTCTCACTGTTTTGATTGAAAATCTATACTCAGTCATGCTACGTTTACTAATTGCACAACTCAATCTTTATTACCCCGTTTTGATGCATATAAAATGTTATTTTGGACTGAGCACCATGTTTTTACTGATAGCCCGAGTGGCTTGAGAGGTTTATGACTGAGTAAGGCCGAGAGCCTGTTTTGGTGAGGATATTATGGGATCGGGCTGCGCGCAGCAACATGTTGTTACTGATTCATTATTATGTGAGGCCGAGGGCCTGATGGATTTATGCCACGAGGTGGTTTGTTATAGCGGTTGGGCTGTAGGAGCCCCTTCGGAGTCTGCACACCCCCAGTGAGCGCGGGTACCCTGAGTGAGTGATATGATGTTGTGCCTGAGGGGCTGTTTACGAGTGATTGTGAGGTATGCCCAAGGGGCTGTATATGAGTGACTGTGAGGTTTACCCGAGGGGCTGTTTATGATTCATGTTTGCCCGAGGGGCTGTTCACGAGTGATGTTTTGCCCAAAGGGCTATTTATGTTTTCATCATTTTTACTTACTGTTTCATCACTTTGTTTGAAAACTGTTGAAAGATGTTTTAAACGGTTTTACTGAAACTGGATTTAAATGAGCTGAGTTGATTCAAAACCCTGATTTTAAAAGCCTACTGTATTCTACTGAGATTTCATGATATGAACTGTATATGTTTTATTGCTCGTCACTACTGCTCAGTCTTTATTTACTTTTATTACTTACTGAGTTGGCGTACTCACATTACTCCCTGCACCTTGTGTGCAGATCCGGGGGTTGCTGGACGTGCTAGCGAGTGTTAATTTGCGGATCTGTGGAGTTAGCAAGGTCGATGCATGGCGATCGCAGCCCTGCTCTTCTCCCTCCTATCTTCCTATAGATGTTATTAGTTGGTTTTCAGACTGCATTAGTCTTAGTATTATCGGACAATTCTTAGTAGATGCTCATGACTAGTGACACCCCGATGTCGGGCTTTTTTTTCCGCACTTTGTTATTCAGATTTATCTTATAGAGTTCTATTATTTAAATAGCTTGAAGTAATCTTTAAATTGAAATATTGGGATGTTTTGGTAAAAGAGTCGACTTGCCTAGTTCCACGATAGGCGCCATCAGGACATGGTAGATTTGGGTCGTGACAAGTTGGTATCAGAGCCTAGGTTACATAGGTCTCACGGGTCATGAGCGGGTTTAGTAAAGTCTTGCGAATTGGTACGAAGACGTCTGTACTTATCTTTGAGAGGCTGCAGAACCTTTAGCAAAACTTCACATTCTTGAATTCTTGTCGTGCGAATCTGTTGATTCTGGTGACTAAACTTCTGTTATTCTATTCTTTCACAGATGGTGAGGACATGTGCTACCGGTCAGGACGGACGGCCACCAGTACTACCAGTTGGGGCCGCGAGAGGCCGAGGTCGTGGTAAGGGCAGAGGTGTAGCCCGCACAGCAGCTAGGGCAGCACCTACAGATCTACCAGCCGCCCCAGTTCATGATCAGGTCCCAGTTGTGGACGCTCCAGCGGGACTAGCTCAGGCGCCGGCTGTGCCTATTATTATCCCAGGTCTTCAGGAGACCTTAGCTCAGATCTTGACCGTGTGCACCAGTCTTGCCCAGGAGGTCGTTGTTTATACTATAGCAGCTACTTCCCAGGCCGGGGGAGGCACTCAGACTTCCACCGCCCGTACACCCGAGCAGGTTGTTCAGGGACTGCAGACACCGGAGGCACCACCAGCCCAGCCGGTTGCACTTGCTCAGGATTATGTGGTACCAGTCATGCCTGATGACGAGCAGCGTAGATTGGGGAGGTTTGTTAGACTACAGCCTCTAACT